GTCCCAACTTTCATTTGCTCTCTGCCCATTGCTAATTATTATTTTTTCAAGCAGAGTGCTTTGGGGCTGGAATTTGTCAGATCTAATAATCAACCCAGAGGAGAATTAACGAGAATTTGGGTAAATTAGATTCAGCAGTTAATTAATTTGATTGTTGGCTACAGCAAACTCTGTCTCATGGGAATGATGAATGGATGTGTCCAATCTCTTTTCCAGGGCTGTTTGGTACAGTAGATGTGTCTGTCCACCTACTAAATGACAAAAGTCAATTTCAACATGTGTTTCATGCCCTTTTGTGCTGGTGGATTTCTTAATCTCCAGGTGTCTCAGGGCCAAATACTGCAGCTGAGAATGTATTTCTAATTTTCTTTTTTGCAGTACATTTTTTCCTGTCCTCTCTGGTCTGCGTGTGTGCACATGTATACATGTGTATATGTGATATAAAACCAAGGATGTGTAGTTACAATTTGTGAAATCTGTAGAGTCTGGCCATTATTAGTCTGGGTATAATTATTACAGAAGAAGAAAGAATAATGGTACAGTTTAAATTGTTTCTACCCCTTTTGCTGGTGTTACACTCACCATCCTTTGTACTCCTGGGTCCTAAGGTTGGTGGCTTCACTGTGATGGGGAGGCAGAAGGGATGCTGCAGTGAGTACGTCAGCAGCAGGGATGTGATTTTCGTGATGATAGCATCTTCCTCATTCTAGAATCTGTCTGAGGCCTTTTTTGCTAGCACACTTTTGTTGCTAATATGCTTTTACACCTTGGTCTTTCTTCATTGATCTGCATCTTCGTCTCCCGTTCAAATTTACTATACTTGGTGGCCTTTACACATGCTAGCTACTATGCTTTTGTTGCCTTCATTGCCCCTGAATACCAGTTTCATTCAGCTCCAGGTCTGCATTTGTTTATAATCATGGGGTCTCCAGCACCAGCTCGTGCCTCCACCGTTACCATCCCAGACCTGTGCATGTTAGCAGGTATATGTGAGTCCCAGGAAACCAAGGGTTATGATTGTACATAGCTAATGTGCACTCAGAATCTACATATCAATGCTGTTGTCATTAAAATCTTGCCTCCAACCTGCTGTGATTACTAGCAGTGGAGAACATGCCTTAACCAAAACATTCATTTGATTCCTCAGAAGTCTTCAGCCAAAGATGTGCATTAAACTTACTGTTTGGCTGAAGGAGTACTGATAAATTATCAGAGGCAAAAGATAATTAATCTTTCTATCAGTAAGAAGTTTGATATGGAACAGAGAATGAACCTTTCAGAACAGAGGGAATGGAAATGTTAAGTATAGAAATGGTTTTGCCGTGACTCATTTTTGTATTCTGTACATGTACTTAATATTCAGTTAGCTTTGCAAACCAAAGCTTGTGTCATCATTATCTAACACTGTACAAATCTGCCTTCAGTTCCAGTGTCAGTGAATGTAATTGAATTTAAAGTAAACATTTGAGAAGAGAAAAGTAAATCTAAGTCAAGTCTTCATTTACAAAGAGAAAAATACATCTAGTTTGTTTGTATATACATGTATATATGAGCTTATTCACCCCACTTCTATCAAAATCCATTTAAAAGCAATTCTCCTTCTCTGGAAAAATAAAGTTCTGCATCAGTGGTCAAAGGGATATGAACGCATTGCTATCTTATAGCACCAGAAGAAGTGGATATAGAAAACTGGAGTGCCATCAGGTACCTTAAGTTAACGTCAACTTTTTTTTTTTTCTCATTTACAGACCATTTAAGATGAATTTAGATTGCAATTTTAAGCAAGGAGATTATTTATTTTAAATTCAATCTTAACTCTCAGACAGTCCCTTAAAACTAGCATCTCAGACTTTTTGGAAGTACACAATAAGAAAAGATAAGATTGGCAGTTTCATTAACATTGTGCCATATTTAGACTTCTAACAACTTCCACACTGAATGCTTTTAGTTTATAAGTGAAAATAAAATTTTAATAACTGCTAACCTGGTGCAGCATCTAAATACCCAGCTGCAGTCTGCATGCTTCACTCATCATTGCAAGCAATAAGGGTTCTAGAAGCATAAGATTTCTTTATTCCATGATGAAATAAAGTATATTACAGCTCTCCTTGCAGCAATAGTATATAAAGACTCCATAATGCTGTCAGGTTTGTGTTTGAACTAAGAAAATGAACTTCAGAAGTTACTGTATGGTTTTGTGTAGTCATTATTTTTTTCCTTCTTGGTGACAATTTAGGAGATTAATTAGGAGATTAACAGGGTTATATGTAAAGATTGATGACATTAAAGAACAATGGGAACTTACATAGCTGCTTTGAAGTGCTAATAGTCTAAAATAATGAGTTGCTACTTTGTTCTGTGATTGGAGTTCACATTTCATCTGGATCTTGGATGCCACTGCAAATGTATGTCTAATAGGCTCAGATAATCAGCTGCGTGAGGGCTGAGTTCAGGGCTGACTCAGGGTGTGCTGCACTGTGGCACAGGGTCTGTTGTTGCCAAGGCAGGCTGGCAGAGATGTGTTTGCCTTTTCAGGTATGTTCAGTAACTAGAGGACTCTGGGTCAGGTTGAGCAGCCCCAGGCCCCATTGGTGTTTGTGTGCAGTTGACATTTCCTCTGGCAGCAAGCAGAGGCAGTGGCCTTGGGCCGCTGGCTCAGCACCTGGGGAGCAAGACAAGCCCAAGCAGCAGCAGTGTCTGCGCATCACCTATGAGCAGTCTGCAGAGATGCTGCTGCTCATGGATGCAAGCAAAGTGAGTTTTGCTTGCTTACAGTCTGACCCAAAGAAAGACTGGTGCAGAACTCAGTGCCGATTTTCAGCCAAGGCAGCAGCATTTGGACCCTTCTCGTAATGAGGATCATAGTTTGTGACTGGCATGTCAAGGACCACACTGGGGATGTATCCTGATATAATTCTATGCAGCAGGTGGCTTAGACCTGTTGGAGATTCCCAGTTGCAGGGCTTTTGGTCAGTGTGGGGAAACTGGGCAGGAAAAGAATGTAAGGACTGGACAATATCCCTATATGGACAGAAGAGGCAAAGAAGCAAGCTTATGTCCTCATAAGCATCAGTTGTCTTGATTTAGCTAGTGAAATGCAATTACTTAATCTTGCTTCGCTGAAATGTTATTTAATTAGAATCCAGTGTTAAAACAAAGGTGGTGTGTTGCACGGCCTTTAGAAATGTCATTGCTTAGTGTGTTATTCTTTTTGCTGTTAGAAATCAATACTATTAAAAGTTGACAAATGTGGCAGCTTTTTTGTGTAGCAGTGCACTCAGGCTAACAAGGCTGTTGCTCAAGGAAAAGTTGTACTTTCTCCATGTTTTTTTTCTTTCTTTTGATTATCTCCATTTCTTAATCTTCATGAGTACCCTAGGAAAAAAAAAAACACTTATGGCAAATGAATATTTCTTTTTCAGATGCTTGCCAGAACTAAAGTTACAGTCAAAACTAAATAGATAGCTACAGTTCTGTAAGTTGTTCCAGCCCGAAGCTGTCACTTTTCACTTTTAATATTTTCTTTTCCCCTTAAGAGGAAAGTGAGGAGAGTGAAATGTCCAAAAATATCTTCCATTAAAAATAGTAAATGTGGCTTGGCAAATAAGCCTGTAAGAATTATTTGAGATTTGACAGATAAAGAAAAATCTCAGGATGGGCAGTCCTTTAGCAGTAAGTTGTTTGAGATCATACCTGGCAGCTTTGACATTTTGGGCGCAGGAGCCTGCTGGACCAGCTTTGAGAACGCATGATAAATATCTTGCAGTCTCAATAGAACTCTGCACAGATCTGATTCTTCCTCCAACAACATTTACGAAATGGTCTCCTCTCAGTCGACTATAACTAAAACTATAATTGTGATTTGCTGCACTTGCAGAAAGTGCCCCTGGAACTTGAAGTTCCTTTCTGTCTGTGACTGATCTTGGACCTGAGAGAAGGGTCACTGAGGTTTTAATTACCATCAGCCAGTAGGTAGCCATGGGGGGGTTCCAGCTGGACCGGAGGTCACAGGGAGCGCAGTGAGGTCTGAACGACAGCATTCTGCTTCCTTCTGTCTGGGTGTATGCAGCCACTCACACTTTGCAGAAACATGAGAGGAAAATGAAAGCATAATGTGGGCTATTGTTCATCTGTTGTTGAGATCTCATTTCCAGAAAGAACAGGAAAGTTAGCAGTGGCGTAACAGCCAGTTCTTCCTTAAAAATATGAGAAATTGCACTGTGGTTGGTTGTGTTTGCGTTTACAAACCTGGTCTCTTCCATACCCAGTTTGTTTATACATCAGTATTACATTGTCCTTTTATTTTCTCTTTTCTGCATGGGAAGTTTATTTATGCTGGCATTTCTGCTGGATGTTGTTTGTTCAAGGCACAAAACCTTTAGGTCATGTTTGAACAGGTCACTAAGCTAGCTGTCCCAAGGCTTTAGATTTGTGATCCAGAACACTGAGTAGGTAAGGTGTTGACAGTAGGTAAGCAGAAGCAGCAGCAATTTTTCCACTCTCTGATAAAAGAGATTTCACTTGGCTTGCAATTATGTGGAGATCCCTTCAAATCCCTCTGGTTAAATTTCCAGAGCTCCTTTACATTCTTAGAGTGGTATAAGAAACCAGAGTTCACTACAGTTGAATGCTGTGCAACTTTCCCACTTCTGCTTGCCTGTAATGATCTAGAGGTAATGTGCTTACTCAGTGTGATCACAGGTTTGGCAGTGACTACAGAGTCTGGCTGGGCTTTTTCCATCTTTCTTAGCTCTGTGAGATAGTTTTTTCTTTTATTAATCAGGCTTTCCTGATGGCTTTTTTTGTTGTGGTAATAGTATCAAGTCATTTAATGTTTTGAAATATTTTATTGTAAGACATATTTATTTGGTTATTAGCATGTAAGTTTTATCCTGCATTGGTGAATTGAGTTGTTGTACCTGGAAGTCTTACCTGTGACCATCTTGTTGTTATATCTTTCTAATGTAAGTCACTGTGCTTGTCTTTTCTATTAAAAATAGGTTGAAGAGAAAAAGGTACCTGAAAAGACTCTTCATCCCCCTGTGTCGCCTTCCTCTGTCCCTGATCATATGAAGTGCAACATTCTTAAAGCTCAAGTAGAAGCTGCTTTCAGAGTAGGCACTCAGGTAATCTGTGCTTGAATGTATTTTGGAATTACTTCCTTTATTTTGGTATTATTTCCTAATTTAGGTATAGCCTACAGAAATTTTTCAAAACCATGTCACTCCTGAGGAAGCACCTTATTTTATCAAGCGTGTCCATACTGACCTGGCTTTCTCTAGCTGCTCTGCAGTTTATTCAGTTATGTCACTGTGATCGATATGATGGAAATGGGAAATTTGTCCTTACTGACACAAATAATACAGCCAAGAGTGTCTCAGGAAATCTCCCTGTTTTGATTCTGTCATGCCAGCTGTTGCTTACTTTGCAGCTGAGAAGCATTAACCTCTGGAGTTTTCTGAGGCTGCCCAACACTCATGGAAACTATGGCTAAAGGTGTTGTAAAATAACATTATGCAACCAAATGTAGTCTTTTTTTAGGGGATTCTAATAATTCTAATGTGAAATGTTAGCTAGTCTATGGTTTTCTTACTTGTTAGCATGCCTTGTACTAAGTTTCCTGCTGCTATTTGCACTTCAGTGTTGACATCAGATACACCACATTTCAAAGACACCACGAGTTTTGCAGCAATGCCATACAAATGAAAGTTACTGTTAGATGGCAGGACTGTAACAAGATAGTTTCCCAGTGAGAAGTAAATCTAAGTGAAACCTAAAATATATGATTCCTTGCAAGTGTAATTAGTGGACAAAAGCTAAAGCTATTTGTGACAAAAATAAAGCCAAATTGAATGCTTTAGGAACAAAAGTAGAGGCAGAATGACTCTTATAACTTATCCAAGTTCCTGTGTTATCCTTGTGCATACTATTCTTTTTGAATACAAATTATATTGGTGTTTCCATCACTTCGTGTCTTTTCAATAACACAGCAGGTCAGCTTGCCCTGGAAAGATTTTGTTAACAATCATCTTTGTGTGTTTGTTGTTCCCTGGCAGATCTTTCATCTAAGAACTAGACAACTCTGGTCTAGATAGACCTAAGAAATTATCTTTTTTTTTCTTTTTTTTTTTTTAATTCTGACTGCCCTAGATTTCACAAACAGAAACAATAAATCTGACAGCATGCAGGGGAAGGAGGATTGTTTTTTTTTCTTTTCTTTGTTTCGCTTAAAGCAGTTCTCACCTGTTTCTGAAATCTGTGCTATATCAACTGTGCTTTATGCAGCCTTTTTCTTGTCTGGTTGCCCTTGATTTTGCCCTCTGTTTTTCCTCTGTGACTCTTTTCTACAGGATGTCGTGGTGTATTTCTCAAGTTTGTATTTTCCCCAGAATATACTTAATGATCATGTTTGACTGGATGGTTAAGGACTGAAAGCAGTGTGTGCTGCTGCATTCAGAGTGCAGCATTACTAAGGCAAGATAGAAAATGTGCTAAACATATGCATCTCTCAGTTCACCTGCCCTGATTTAATTTTTCACCCTGAGGTTTTCTGAGGGAGAACATCCTGGGTTGCTTTTTCATCATGCCACAACTCTGTTCTTTAGCTGTTGCTGTCTGGCAAATAAGGTTCAGAACAACCTGAGCATCTCCTTTTTTCCTTCGTACCCATACACAAGGCTTAGCAGTCAGGTTGGATTAAATACATGTCATAGGCTTGGCCCCTTATGATTTCAGGTTGAAGGAATGGAAGGAAGGCTGCTGCAGGATATCACATGCTGTGGAAATATAATGGCATGCAGTTCAGTCTGAAATTCCTGTAGGTTTCATTGCTAAAGGAGTATGGCTTAAGAGGGGTAGCCAGCAAGCTAGGATGTCACCTCTACTTGGAAATCCTCCTTCAGCTCCCTTCTTAGCCACACGAATGCCTGTGATACTGAGATGAATTCTTCCTGCACATGTGAATTATTACCCTTCCCAAACACATTCCAAAAAGAGGTAGATAGAGATGAGGCAGTGGTCAGTCATTGCAGTAAGAAGCTGTGGCTAGACAAGTGCTGGAAAAGGGTAGACTAAAGGAGGAGAAGGCAGTAGGAAATTCAGTGTCTGTAACCTAGAAAATGGGAGGATGGAGGGGGCTACTTGGAATCCCAGTAAACCACCTTACCAACTTGCCATAAAAACGCCCGGTAATCTCTTGTACTCCCTGCTGCATGAAAATCTGGCTGAATACAAGTAGGTAAACCATTTCCCGGTGGCAATTCAGTCACCTTCAGGGAAAAGGGAGCTGGGATGGCACTACACTGCCCAGAGACATTTAGAGCATCCTTTGCAGGGGGCAGGTAAGAAATAGTATCTTCATGTCAGACAACCACTGAATTCCATGTATTCCTTCAGGGCTGTGATCGTGCCCCTCTTTGACCGTATCTGACATCTCCTGCTGCCCAGTATATCTGGGGGACTAACCCTTCTGTTCTCTGCCTGGCACTGTCTTGACTTCAGTAAATCCTTTGAAGCCTTCCAGCCTCATTCTTTTGAAAGAAATACCCTCAAATTTCTCATCTTTTGTCTTCTGTACTGACATATTTCAATTTACAAGGCAGCCTGAGCAAAAAGTACAACTATGTTTTGTAAAGAAAAGTCTGTTTCAGTTGCCGTAAAGAAACACGGGCTGATTTTCCTCATGTACTCCATAGATCTTTCTTTATTATATGGTGTTACTAGAAGCTGAGGATTTGCTCCCCTTGACCTTGTAAAAGGAAGGAGAAAAAAACAGATCATGTCTTACGCACATGCTATTTGAAGTAAAATGTTTTCTTATAAGCTGGATAGAGTATCTTCTAATCTATTTTTTAAACATCCCCAGAAGTCTATGGTCTAAACCATCCTTCATGAAATTTCACAGGACGTTATCATTATATAGTTAGGTGTAAAAGTGTGAAAAAATATTGGTGCACTGTGGGATCAGATCCAAAATTAACAAACTGTTGCTTGACATATTTGCACCAGCTCTCTCTTCCAAGCAGTGAGGATGTTTTCAATACCATATGCTACTAACAACAGGATGTGACAAGCTTATAAAGGCATCTCCTGCGTGTGGTAGAAGAAGCTCTTTGTCATTAATGCTGGCAATTGAGTAAATGTTTGTGAGTGAAAAATGAAATCTAGGGCAGGATATTTTATATAATTTTCTTTCTTTTTGGCAACTAGACACCAACTTGAGAGAGTCTTAGAAATGAATGATTCTAATACTTATGATTTCAAATATAAAAACAGGGTAAATGATGTGGTATATTTGAAAATATATCCTGCAAGATGGTCTCTGCACTGCTTCATTTCTGAATCATGCTGAAGAGCTGTTTATTGCTTTCCTAGGGGGCAATATACCATCTCCTGTGACTACAGTCCTGACTTAGACACTGAACATTTCTGAGTTTACGGTGCCATTTGCTGAGCCCTGCATGTGGTGTAGAGCTAGAGAGCAGCAGGAGACTAACAAGAGTGACTTTGTTTGTGTGGTGAAGATGCAAATATTTATGTGCCTTTCTGCAAGTTGGAGAATCGAAGTACAGAGGGTGTGAGGATACTTGAAACCAAATCCAGGAGCGCACTGGCGCAGACACCACGGATGAGAAATGTGAGGAACTCACATGTTATC